ATTCCAAATGATAGATATTATCATTTACTGAGCATTGTCCACATGTCAGGTGCTTTTCTAAGAGCTTTACATATATGAACTCACTCCTGGAGGTATTTGCAGTCCAGTGAAAGACCAAGGGGGCAGGTACATGGTACAAAGAGAGAACATTGTACATGAGAGGGCGGTATTGGTACAGCCTCATGATTGCAAGTATCAGAAAACCACTCAAATTAGCATTAGTTTGAAAAAAATCTTCTTTTATTTTTGGCTCAGAAATCGGTGAAATGTCAACAATGGATAGTAACAACAGCTAAGACTTACTGAATTGTAGTTAATATCCTGTGTGTGTGTTAGTCAGTTGTGTCTGACTCTTTGTGATCTCATGGATTATAGCCCGCCAGGCTCCTCTGTCCATGGAATTCTCCAGGCAAGAATACTGGAGTGGGTTGCCATTTCCTTCTCCAGGGGATCTTCCTGACCCAGGGATCAAACCTGGGTCTCCTTCATTGTGGGCAGATTCTTTAATGTCTGAGCCACCAGGAAGCCCAAATATCCTGTAATAAACCACAATGGAAAGGAACATGAAAAAGAATGTGTGTGTGTGTGTGTGTGTGTGTATATATATATATATATATATATATGCACGTGTATATATGTGTATAACTGAATCACTATGCTATATGGCAGAAACTAATACAGCACTGTAAATCAACTATATTTCAGCTAAAAAAAAGAGAAAGGCATATCTAGAGCTTTCTATAGGTTAGGCGCTATGCTAAGCAGTTTGCGTATGCTAATACTTTTAATCTTTACCCAATCTTGTAGGCAATGGACAGGACCCATGGCTTGCTCAAGGCTGAAACAGCTAGTAATGACAAACCAGTTATGACAGCTGGCCAGGCAGCTGGTTCCAGAGTTCTTATTCTTAACTATGTCAGCTAGGTCTTGGCTGGATTTGGAAGTTGAAACAGTGCTATGAGACTTCTTAGCTTGGCTTGCATCTGAGCTTCCTTCCTGGGTGGGCTCCTGTGTGTCTCCATGGTGGGTGGCATCCCCAAGCCCACACCGACCTCAGAACCATCTTCCCAACAGCCCCAAACTGAGTCCTGGGGGCTACAGGTCTGGTCTGGGTTCTGAGCCCTCCCCAAGGACAGAATCAGTCTACTAAGAATATTACAGGGCTATTACATAAGGGAGAAAAGGTGTTTTCTCAGAGGAAGACACATAGGCAGACACGTAGATGTCTATATCAAAGGCCAGAGTTCATTGTGACAAGGATCAAACTGAAAACCAGGTAATGGAATCCTTGCTACACGCCAGGTGTTTGCAAGGCACTGCTAAGATGTGATTGTAGCCCCCAGTCAACTGGGAGAGCCCAGGCAAAAGGAAACTGCAACAAAGAGAAACTGGAGCCCAAGCAGAAAGGAAGAACTGATAAGGAGGTAAGCAGGAACCAGACCCAGAAGACCTGGCAAGCCCAATTAAGCAGCGAACCATGACTTAACCTGAACATAACCCTGCTTCACCATGGGAAGCATTAGGCAAAACAGTCAGCATACATTTATCTTCACTCTGGTACCCCTGGTGTCACTGATGAAGAAACTGATACCTAGGACAATGAAACAACTTGCCCAAGGAATCCAGAACGATGGAGCCAGGATTCAGTAGTCTATAAATACCTTGAACCTAACCACATTGCTAAGGCGAGGCCAGCAAAGGTCATGGTCAAATTTATTTTCCCCCCACAAGTAATCCACAATGGAAATAGAATTTCTTGGTTGGTAGCAATCTGATATTATGTATCTATCATTACAGTGCACAGTACACACATTGAAAAACTTATTCAATGGGCCCCAGCAATGAAGATGTGGTCATTAAACACTGGATTTTTTCCAAGCTGTTTTTAGGTAACATCAACGTGGGCTGCAAGCTGTGCATTTAAAATATTGGGCGGGCGGGGGGGGAAGGCTGAAAGGAGTTCAGATCCAAATACAAAGACTCTGAAACCACCAAAGGGGAAACGGATCTGACCTGAACATATTACATATGGAAACCCTGGAATGCCTGAGATGATCTTGGGAATATTCAATTACAAGGGAGACCCAGCGCTGACCTTTTCACAAGGAGACAATCAACAGAAGACTGTATTTGATGAGGAATTTGCTTCCTATTAACAAGGCTTCTAACCTCGTACCAGAGAGAAGAGAAGGGAGGGCGAAGACCCCAGGTGGCTTTGAAGAGGTGAACTCTGGTTCTTTACTAGTCTGAAAAGAAAAAGGGGGGAAAAAAAAGCAAGACAGGAAAAAGAAGGTATTGTGTAGAAAGGCCATATGATCCACCCAGCTGTTAAATCCTTTGGGCCGAAGTGTTTGCTAGAAAGGCTGAGGAAATGATACTAATAAACCTGTAGAAACTTGACATTCTTTTCTTGAATATTTACTACATTTCTTCTGCAAATACTCAGGACATACAGAAGGTATTACAAAGTGACTACTAATTCAAATTTTACATCTGGGGTTACTTTTTGGACTATCCATCCCTGTATACAACCCACCTCAAGCCACTCTGTGATCTCCACACAGCCCAGCAGAATGAAGGGCTGCCCTTTATTCATCGAGTCACTTAGTCGTGTCTGACTCTTTGTGACCCCATGAGCTGTAGCCCACCAGGCTCCTCTGTCCATGGGATTCTTCAAGCAAGAATAGGGGAGTGGGTTGCCAGTTTCTTCTCCAGGGAATCTTCCCAACCCAGGAATCGAACCCAGGTCTCCCACATTGCAGGCAGAGTCTTCACTACCTGAGTCACCAGGGAAGCCCTTTATTCAGCCCATATAAAGTATCTCTGTCATGGCCTTGGATGGAAATTGTCTCTTCCACTAGATCTAACTTATCTCTGTCCTCAGCATTTTAGCAGATGTAGCTGCTCAGAAACGTTTGTTAACTGAATGAATGAAATGCTTTCACACATTTATAAATACTGCTCTCTACTGTAGTAAGTCTCTGTGGTCATTTTTAGCCCAGGAGCTCCTCAAGTGCAACCTCATGTCTTATCCATCTTATCTCCATTGTCTAGCAAGGTGCCTAAGAGTTCCTAACAGATAGTAGGTGCTCAGCAAAGGTTGGAAGGGTTAAGAACAAAGTTTCTCAACAAATGACATGGTAGGAAGGAGGCAGGAGAATAGTAAACAGGATTATTAATTCTTTTGCTTGTTTTTTTACAACTACATAACTATAACTTCATGTATTTGCCTTTGAAATCTTTTTTAAAAATTTATTTATTGGCCACACTGCCGGGGCATGTCAGATCACAGTTCCCTGACCAGGAATGGAACCCCGTGTCCCTGGCATTGGAAGGCAGAGTCTTGACCACTGGACTGCCAGGGAAGTCCTGTAAACAGGATTATTGATGGAGGGAAACTTCTGAATTAGTGACAAGAGCCTTTTTCAGTTTATGAGCATGACTGATGGGAAATCTTAGTTTTCTGAATGTAACTAAGATAAAAACTAAGATTTCCCATCAGTCATGCTCCATCACTTTACGGCAAGTAGATGGGGGAAACAGTGGAAACAGTGGCTGACTTTATTTTTCTGGGCTCCAAAATCACTGCAGATGGTGACTGCAGCCATGAAATTAAAAGACGCGAAAGTTATGACCAACCTAGACAGCATATTAAAAACCAGAGACATTACTTTGCCAACAAAGGTCCGTCTAGTCAAGGCTATGGTTTTTCCAGTGGTCATGTATGGATGTGAGGCCTGGACTATAAAGAAAGCTGAGCACAGAAGAATTGATGCTTTTGAACTGTGGTGTTGGAGAAGACTCTTGAGAGTCCCTCGGACTGCAAGGAGATCCAACCAGTCCATCCTAAAGGAGATCAGTCCTGGGTGTTCATTGGAAGGACTGACATTGAAGCTGAAACTCCAATACTTTGGCCACCTGATGTGAAGAGCTGACTCATTTTAAAAGACCCTGATGCTGGGAAAGATTGAGGGCAGGAGGAGAAGGGGACAACAGCGAATGAGATGGCTGGATGGCATTACCGACTCGATGGACATGGGTTTGGGTGGACTCCGGGAGTTGGTGATGGACAGGGAGGCCTGGCTTGCTGCGGCTCATGGGGTCACAGAGTCGGACACAACTGAGGGACGGAAATGAACTGATGGGAAATGGCGGGTTCCTGGCCAAATACCATGTACATGAGTTTAAGCAAACTCTGGGAGATAGTGAAGGACAGTGGAGCCTGACATACTGCAATCCGTGGGGTCGCAAGGAGTCGGACACGACTTAGCGACTGAACAACAACCACCCGTTTAGCTCCCGCGATTCTGGCTTTGGGCAATTTCTCACAAAAGTCGTAAGAAGGAAGCTAACACAAACCACACACAGGTGCTTCACATTTAAACCCCCAAACATATCCACGAAGCAGGTATAACCCCTATGGTACAGAAGAGCAAACAGGCTCAGAAAGGTTTTTATTTCTTGCCCGGAGTCCGTCCAAGCGGTCAGTGCCAGGCCCAGGCTCCACCGCAGGTTCCCGAACCCGGCCCAGCGGTCCTTTCCTCCTCCTGGGCGTCCTCCAACCCTTTCGAGTCTAGCTGGGCGATTCCTGAGGAGGAGGAAAGAAGCTGACGGGCTGAGACGCTATGCGCACTGGGGAAACATGGAGGATTCCGGAGCAGAGAGCGGGAAGCAGCCAAGTACCAAGGCAGGGACCTACAGCCTCGCCCGCGCGCATCCGCCGGCACCGATTAAGTTTGATCCTTCTGGCTTTCCGTAGCTCGGAATAAACAGACCTTTCCATTGGGAAAGGTCAAGATTTCGAAATTCAAATCCTGTTTGCAATTTTGAGCACGGAGACAACGAAGCCAACGTTACCCTACGTTCTTACCAACTAAAACCTCGAAGACAACATAGTCTCTACTTTTCATAGACAGGAACCCTCCTTCCGCCAGGATGTCGCTACAGGAAGTTCCGGTGAGGTTAACGTCACTTCCGTCCCGTTTTTGGGTGGTACCAAGATGGATGCTCTACGGGCTCGGGAGCAGCTCCGGCGGCGGTACTTGTTCCCGCCGGACTCGGAGGTCTCACTGGAACGCGAGGGCTATCCCAGTCCGGGTGAGGCGCTTCCCCTGGGCACGCTTCGAGCCGCCTCGAAGTTCCCGCAGGCGAGGGGCCCGGAAACGGCCGGCCCCGCCGACCTCCCGCAGGCTCACCCATTCCCGAGGGACTGGGATTTGTTTTTATCAAGGCTTACCAAGTAGTTCTGCAAGTTAGGTATTTTAAGTATCGTAAAAGGGCGTTAGAGATCAGGTAACCTTCCGCATCTACATCTCAGCTGCGCTTCAGGATTCCCCGGAGAGCTGGTTTAAGACGTATTTGGCAGTATCCATTAAAAAAAAAAAAATCCACTCTTTGTGTCTCCAAGAAAAGAAGCATATTTGTAGCAGTACACGAGGACGTATGTGCGTGTGCAAAGTGTTTAATCTCAGCAGTGCTATTGCTAGTAATAGAGAACTACTGGAAGCATCTAATTGTTCGTCAGCAGGGAGCTGGTTAAATACGGATGTACGTCACACAGCAGGCCGACTTTATGTACCAGTGTGGGTAATTTTCAAAGGGAGGCGGAGAACAAAGTATGATATACCACCATTTGGATTCAACCAGATAACATGCAGTGTATGCTCACCTGTAGATGGATAGAGTATGCAGGAACTCAGTAGACGTTGATACTGATAGCGGCTTTGGGCTGGGGAACTGGGGTTAAGGATCGAAAGAGATTTCATCTTAGAAGTTTTTGTCCTGTATGATGTTAAAACGTTGTGTATGTATAACCTTTAAAAAAATAAACACAGAAGACTTCGTGATCAGGCTTTCTTGTTTATAAATTTTGAGGGTGTCTCTAAGAATTTGTATTACGAGTAAGGTGCCCGGGAATTCTGATGGTCAACTAAAGTCAGGAACCTTGGATGCATACCAGTGGTTCTTATGAACAGAGAGAGGATGTGTCAGTCACCTGGGGAACTTGTTAGACCCCATTTGACCGAAAGCCAGCCAGTTGTTCTTCCCAGATGGAAGAAATTTGACTTGTCCATCACTAGTCTAGACAGTATGGTGTTGTAACTGTACCTCCAGTGTGACCTTTCCACTTTTGAGCTGCCTGAAAACGTTGTGTTTGTTTAAAACAAGAAAAATATGTAGTGTTTGTAAGTAGTGGTTTTGGAAAATCACAAGTCCATTTTGTGTTCTAATGTTTGTCACTTGCATTTTTCTGAATTAACAGAAATAATCACTTTCCTAGGAGGTATATGAAGCACACATTAAAATTCCTACACTACCAGATGGCATTATTGTTTCCCCAAAAGACTGTATCAGTAAATTTAGTTTCAAAAATTCATTTGGTGGAAAAAAGTTGACAATACTGAACAAGTTTCATAGCAGCTCCTATTATTTCTAAAAATGTAAACTTATTTTGGTGGTTTTAAAGAAGAAATTGGTCCTCTAATAGGAGAGAATCTGCCTGTTAGAAAGCTCTAGGAAATTATTTTATTTGACTTGAAATAGGTGTAATTTTTCCTGTGAAGCCAATGGTTACTTGATCAGTTGAAATCTCTCTTATTTTCAGAAACCTCTACAGCTGTTGAGAAAAAGGAGAAATCTCTTCCAAGACTTAATATCCATTCTGGGTTCTGGATTTTGGCATCCATTGTTGTTACCTATTATGTTGACTTCTTTCAAACTGTTAAAGAAAACTTTCACACCAGTAGGTAAGAAAACTTGATGACTCTTATTTTTTCACATTATGTTTTGTTCGACTCTTAGCAAGCACCTGCTTTCTGCTAGCCAGGGTGTCAGAGGTGCTGGTGATACAAAGTTGAAAAAGAGTGCACATTCTGAGCACGTGCAACAGAGTGGACATTATTTCAGTGGGCCTTTTCAGCCTAGATGTTTTGTAGGATGAGGAAGGCAGTGAATTTAAGAAGGACCTAATCATTTGTAAAACATGGAGAGAGAATAACTAAAGGTCTTTAGGAGATCAGATCCACAAGCCCTGGGAGGAAGGAATGAGAACTATGGTGCATGAGAATCAGGTCTCAGAGCTCATTTTTAGAGAGTAGTTAGTGGCCAGTGAGGTACACATACAGGCTGTGATTGAACTAGAGTGAACCAGAGTTCACTGGTGTGAGAAGTCAGGAGCTTTGCAGCGGGATGTCAGATAGTCCATCATTCATGTGGATTGAGATCTCTTTCAGGAGCTGACGGTGGGGATGGGGGGGGTTGTTGATCACCCTCCCGAGTCCTCACTGAACGTTAGAGAGTGTTCTGGAGGCCCCTAGATAATAGAAAAAGCTGGGGAGGTGTTGGTGAGCGTTAGAGCTGGCACTGGGAGGGGTGGTTCTCTTAGAGAGCAAGTGTAATTTGTCTGGACATGTCAGTCAGATTTCCCTGGTGGCTCAGATGGTAAAGAGTCTGCCTGCAATGCGCGAGACGTGGGTTCAGTTCCTCGGTTAGGAAGATCCCCTGGAGGAGGGCATGGCAACCCACTCCAGTATTCTTGTCTGGAGTATTCCATGGACAGAGGAGGCTGGCGGGCTACAGTCTGTGGGGTCCCAAAGAGTCAGACACGGCTAAACGACTAGCACACACACACATCAGTGAGGCTAGAAAGGTGCAGACAGGACTGCTGATCGGGTGTTTTCACTGGGGATGTGGGCATACAGTTTTTCTCTGCCAAGGCCTTCAGGAGGGCCGGTGACTGCTGGAGGGGTGCCTGAGGAGAGTGAGGGAGCAGGCAGCCAGGGGACAGCAGAGGTGGGGGAGTTGATGTAAACTGGGAGGGAGAGAGCGTGTTCACTTTCCTTATCTCCACAAGGAGGAGCTTTCCCCAAACACTCCCCACCACTGCTTCCCCATCCTTCCCCATCACTGCTCCTTCCCTGGGAGGTGCTGGACCTCCTGACGAGGTTTGGGATGAAGAACCAGACTTGTAACTCAGCACCTTCTTTCTCTTTGGAGCCAGCTGCTCACAGGAAGCATGGATTCTGGGATGCTTGTCTGTGCCATAGTTTTTGTTGTTGTTTGTTTTTGTATTTTTGGAGCTCTTTTTAAAAACATCTTTTTTTAAAATTTCAGTTTTAATTGTCTTTGCTTTGGCTGCCCTGCGGCTTTTCCGGCGTGGTGCACGGCTTGCTCCAGCCTCAGTGCGCGGGGGCGTCCCTCTGGCTGTGGCACGGGGGTCTCGTGTTGGCGAGCGCAGGCTCTGGAGCACGTGAGCTGAGCGGTCGTGGTGCCTGGCTCAGTTGCCCTGAGGCTCGTTTGATCTCAGTCCCTGGACCAGGGATCGAACCTGTGTCTCCTGCATTGGAATTGGAAGGTGGATTCTTAACCACTGGACCACCAGGGAAGCCCCCGCACCATCATTCCATGGGGCAACCCTAAGATCAGAAGGTCTCTAGGTTTTCATTGTGTCTTGAAGCCCAGTGGCTAAGTCTTGTCTATCCCTGGATTTCAGTGTGAGGAAGCACTCTGTGACCATTCACTAAAGCCATCTTCTTTCCATAGCTCCATTAGTTAAAAAAAAAAAAAGCTGACACTTGATCTTCATCAGCCTGGCTTCTTTGTCTCTCTCAGTTGGCTGGGGGAAGAGGGACCATTCACTTCAAACACCACCCGTATCAGCCGCACCTCCGTTTACTGAATATTTAATGAGAACCTGAAGTGTGTCCGATTTTGGTGCCAGTGATGAACAAGGCACGTTTCTCACCCTCCACCAGTTCATTTTAGGCTGTGATAGATGAACAGGTCACATGGTGTGTACTGTGTTAGTGTATGAGGGTGTGGGACACCATAGGAGTACCTTGAAGGGGCACCTCATCTTGCCCAACCTCGGGTTGTTGTTGAGTTACCCAGTCATGTCCCACTCTTTGTGACCCCATGGACTGCAGCACACCAGGCCTCTCTGTCCCTCACCGTCTCCCGAAGTTTGTCCTAGTTCATGTCCATTGCATCTGTGATGCCATCCAGCCATCTCGTCCTCTGACACCCTCTTCTCCTTTTGCCCTAAATCTTTCCCAGCATCAGGGACTTTTACAGTGAGTCAGCTGTTTGCACAAGATGACCAAAATCCTGGAGTTTCAGCATCAGTCCTTCCAAGGAGTATTTAGGGTTGATTTCCCTTAAGATAAACTGATTTGAGCTCCTTGCTGTCCAAGGGCCTCTCAGGAGTCTTCTCCAGCACCACAGTTCAAAGGCATCCGTTCTTCGATGCTCTACCTTCTTTACCATCCAGCTCTCACAACCATACGCCAGCCTCGGGAGGTGGGCATCTTTGAGGTTTTAGAAGAGATGAGAGGATTTATCCATTTGTGTCCTTCTCTATCCTTCCATAAGAGAATACTAAGTATTAGCAGTGAAGGGAGGTGGGAGGTGAGGAATAGCTCCTTCCACTGTGAGATGTTTGGGGGCGCCTGCAGGAGTAAGAGGCATGCCCAGGTGTGTGGCAGAGCGTGACTCAGCCGCCAGACCAGGGCAGTGGGGCACGAAAAGGAAGTGGAAGTCATAGGTCTGTCCTCGAAAAAGTGTCATCTTAGAGGAAAAGAGACAGAAACACCCACCCAGAGGCTGAGAATTTTGAACAGCGTTGTGTTCTTGCCGAGGCCTCAATTCGTGGGGAGTTGGAGCAGCCACGGCGTGAGAGTGCTGCCCAGAGGTGGTCCGCGCAGGCTGCCCCTGTTTCCTCGAAAAGGGTTCTTTCCTCTGATTTTCCAGATCTGGCTGTGTCCCCGTGACCGGCCAGGGCTGATGAGGCTTCCTCACATACTCTGAGCCAGGTCTTGTGATGGAGTTGGAAGGAGAAGAAAGCCATTGCCCCTTGGGGGAGTACTGGGAGATAGTCTCCGAACGGGAGCGTTTCATTTAGAAATCTTTTACGACAGGCAGTTTAACTCCTTCCAAACTGATTTTCATTATTTCAAGAAACCCTGCCTAGTTTGGATAAGTTGATGGTATCTGTTGAAATCTTTATTAATCTCACACTCAAAGCTTCAGAAACAACCAGAAAGCTGCTATTTTTCCTGTATTTTTAAGGAAAATGCAGTACTGTAACGAGGTTGGTTAGTTTATGAAAGAGAGAGAGAGAGTGTGTGTTTAAAGTCTTCCTTTTTCATCCTTTTTTGTGTCTCACTCTCATCTTTATCACCCATTTCCTGCTAGATCTAGACTTTCTGAAAGCTGGGATTGAGTAACTGGGTCCCTCTGTGCCCCTTCCCCAGTTGACACTCTTCTTAGAAATAGGTATCTTGTCTATTAATGAAAACTTTAAGATCCCTGATTTGCTAAGTGCTGTCATTCAGCACTTTTAAAAACAAATCATTGCAATTTTGTGTCCATATTTGCTAAACAGTCACAGAACTTCTAGGCCAGCTTCTGGGAACTGAAGAGCCTTTGTAAGGAGTTTATATTGTCTACACCCAAGTAATGCGCACACAGTCGGGAGCAAAATTGCAGAACACGGGTTTGGAAGTTCTGATCCGAAGAATCGTAGAGACACTTCCTTGCTCGAGTAGCAGGGCTGAGTCACAGCTGGCTGGGTGACAGCAGACACAGGTACAGCCAAGAAAACAGGGCAGACCCCCGAAAACCAAGCTGTCTGCCCTGTGTGTGGTTCAGGGCTCACCATTCAGCCCGCCTGTATTCAGAGAGAAGCTTGTCAAACCTTTGTCAGGTACGTACACTGTTACCAATGGGATTGCTGCCATTGGTATGGTTAGCCAGCAGCTGTCCTGTGTCACGCTTGGGATGTGTCAGAAAAGACTGTCTGCTCTTGGGCCTCAGAGATGACGTGTGAGAGGATAACGGAACGGTGTTACCTTATCTCTGCAGTTGGTTTCTCTTCGGCAGTGCCTTCTTGCTCGTTAGCGTGTCGATTGCGTTTTACTGCATCGTCTATCTGGAGTGGTATCATGGAATTGAAGATTATGATATCAAGTATCCAGCGTTGATACCTATTACAACCGCTACTTTTATCATAGCAGGAATTTGGTGAGTTACCTGTGGAATGACTAATAGGAATAAAGATTGTTTGATCGGGTAGTGATATACATGGTACAGAATTCACAGGGGGAAAAAAAGGAATAATGAGAAAGTCTCTGCCTCTTTTCAGTACTGTCTTTCTTTACTTATATACTAATTTAAAATAAAAATGGTAACATACTGTATATATTTTGCATTTTGCTTTTTAAACAATTTTAATTGTGAAGTTTAATGCAGAAAAGTGGAAGAATCTCCATTGTACGGCTGAGAGAACTATCATGCAGTGAGCCTTTGTGTAAACCCTAATGAGGGCAGGAGGAGAACGGTGCCAGCTCCCTGTAACCCCTCCCCGGCCCCCCTGCCCCGGTCATCCCCTCTTCCTTCCTGCCCATGGGAAGACACTGTCCCCAGCTTCCTGGTAGTTCCTTTCTTTTGCGTCTCTTAAACACTTTTTTTGTTGTGTCTATTTTTTTGAACTCTATATATAGAGATGGGTTGCTGTAGTATGTGTTCTTTATGTTTGGCTGTTTACATGCAATGCGACGGATGATTCCTCCGTATTGTTGTGCGTAACAGTTGGTTATTTTCATTGCTCTTCAACATTCCATTCTTTAACTGAATTCCAGTTTATCCCCTCTGCTCCTGATAGAATTTGGATTGTTTCCAGTTTGAGCTTACCACGTGTGATGCTGTTAAGTAAGACGTTGGAGACATAAACAAGACATTCTTGTGTGCATACCTCTGCATAACTGTTGCGTGTCTGTGTACACTCATACATACGTATATATAGGTCTCTCTAGAAGGAAAATCTTTGGCCTATTGGATATGCATGCCTCCAGCCTCAGTAAATAGTGCCAAATTGTTTTCCAGAGTGATCTTTTTTTTACACTGAGTTTGTATTTCTTCCATATTGGTGTGTGTAGATCTGCCTCATTATTTTTAATGGTTACATGGTTATTACTGCATGGATATATCATGATTTATTTAACCAGCTTGATTTCTTTAAAAAATTCTTTTGCTGTTATAAAAAAATGCCACAGTTAATATCCCTTTTCATAAACTAATAGGTTGTCAATGAAAAAAATGTTTTTTTTTTATGTTTATAAAAGTATTTTATAACTTGCTCACTAAAGAAAAATCTGTGAATTACAGAAAAACACAAAGGAAGTAAATCCCATGGTTCCTGCCAGCCAGTGAGGAAACTATATGAACACGGTGTTTGGCCTTTTAGGGTTTTTTCCCTCCCCTTATATTAATGGAATTTTAGTTTGGGGAGAACCACACACCATTGCACATTTGCTGTTCAGTCGCTAAGTGGAGTCCAACTCTTTGTGACCCCATGGACTGCAGCACTCCAGGCTTCCCTGTCCTTCACTGTCTCCCAGAGTTTGCTCAAACTCATGTCCATTGAGTCTGATGCTATCTAACCATCTCATCCTCTGCTGCCCCAATCTCCTTTTGCCTTCAGTCTTTTTCAGGTTCAGGGTCTTTTCCAGTATTCAGTGTAAATGTGTTTTTTCTGTGATTTTTTTTTTTCTGTAGTTGAAGTTTATGGGTTTTTGACATGTTACATTGTGATGTGGTTATTATTAACTCTTCAGGAACAAGTGTAGACAGATGCGTTATTCACCAATTTCTTAGAAGGCTAACATCACTCCCAAGAATGTTATTTATTTTTAGCACAGTAGGATTGTAGCTATTTAAATTTATACTTGTCAAAGTGTTATATATTAATCAACTCTCTGAAACACTTAATTGACTAATTTTCCTTTATTAGCTTTAGCTCTTAAAAAATGTGGTCCATAAAAATCATTTGCACTTTAGAAAGTGTTTTATTCTTGCCTTGGTAAGAATAGTGTTCTTCTCAATGGAAAATTTAATAGCAGCTTATAAATGATGTTTTTCATTCTGTTTTCTAATGGGAAAATACTTTAACCATCTTTTTTTTTACTGTGATATTTTGATGGTATGTGAGATCGTAAAAGCAGGCTGTGGTCATTTTATTTTATGTCCCTTCACAGACACTTAACTTTAAGAGACTGATGTCTCTGTTGAGCCAGCTCAGCGCTCGTTAGAGGAGCTTTAGTGATTCCAGTTCTAAGTACTTTGTGAAGAGGTTGTGATATTTCCAATATTGGCTAAATCACATGTCTGAGAAACTGTATACATATAAGTAAAATTCCTGGCTGAATGAACTTTACCAACCTGGGTAAAAAGTGAATCTTCTAAATCTAGATTCTACAGTACAGTATATTTGTAGAGAGTACAGCTACAGTTGTCAATGGTGTGGGTTTTTTGTCCTTTTCAGCTTCAATGTTGCTTTATGGCACGTGTGGTCCTTTTTTACTCCACTGCTGCTGTTTACCCAGTTTATGGGGGTTGTAATGTTGACCTCACTCCTTGGATGACTTCTAAAGGTAAGATTTCTGGAATTGTAATTCTAATAAGGAAGTAGTCTCTCATGACAGTGTTCAGTGAAAGTGAAAGTTGCTCAGTCATGTCCGACTCTTCTCGACCCCGTGGACTATACACTCCGTGGAATTCTTCAGGCCAGAATACTGAATTGGGTAGCCTTTCCCTTCTCTAGGGGACCTTCCCACCCCAGGCATCGAACCCAGGTCTCCTGCATTGCAGGTGGATTCTTTACCAGATGAGCCACAAGTGGACATAGCAATAACAGACATAGCAAGAACAGACTAGTAAATTATTTCAGCCTTGTTTACACCAAGCTGTTCATCCATGGAACTCTGCAATGAAAGGGACTGTGATCCCTTCCCTTTTGTATTATTTAGTTCTAAGGGGCTGCTTCTTAGAGAAGTCACCCTGCCCGTCAAAGATCTCATGAAGAGGGTATCTTCCACTATAGATAAGTTCACACAGTAGTCCATTTTCTATTGCAGTTGACTTCCATCAGCTTCTGTACAGATGACTATTGGCTAGATCATTCTTGCGTGCATCTTCAGTGGCTTAGTCGTGTCTGACTCTTTGTGACCCTGTGGACTATAACCCACCATGCTCCTTCATCCATGGAATTTTCCAGGCAAGAATCCTGGAGTGGGTTGCCATTTCCTACTCTAGGGGATCTTCTTGACCCAAGGATCAAACTTGCATCTCCTGCATTGGCAGGTGGATTCTTTACCACTGTGCCATCTGAGAAGTCTAGATCATTCTTAGTTAATGGAAATACAGGATTAATGGGAGGTTTTACCCAGTGGAGGAAAAAAGGCTGTTTTCTAATTGTCATGACTTCCCTGTAGAAGTGTGATGGATGGCACATCAGCCTTTTCCTTCCAAGTTACAGAATTTCTGCTTCCCCACAGACCACTGCATCCCTGGGCCTGCCACCTCACAGTGGGGTCTATTTGCTGATTGTCAGATAACTCATTTACTAAATAAAAATGTCCTGAGAGCACTCAGGCTTCATGCTTAGGGGCTTGGTAAAAAAGGCAGACCTCTCTTCATGTTGCTGATGTCAGAACCTGGAGGAAATCTACTCCATGTGTCAGTTTACAAGTATGAAAACGGGGCCCAGAGAAGTAAAAGGTAATGCGCTCAGTTATTGGGGTGCAAGTGAAGACTGACATTTCAGCTCACAGACAGCTTGTTCTCCCTTTGGCGTTTTAAAGGAAAGTCCGTATAACCAGGTTAAGAAGGAATGGGTGTCCTCTCACTGGTCGTCTGTCTGAAAATAGCTGCTCGCACACACATGCCGCTGAATGGCTGAGAGGCCATTCGGACTCTCACAGTCCGTCTTCTGTCCCTGGTGACCGGTCGCCACAGAAACCTTCCCTCATCTGAGCCTCTTTGCTTTGACTCTTTGGCTGTTCAGTATTGACTTTTTCCACTTTTTCGGGAATTATAAATATAGTTTAGAAAAAACACTAGATTGTGAGTCTAGTAACAGAAGACTGTACCTTCTTATTTACCGATAAAGTATGCAAGAACTGCTAATACTATGCTTTTGATTTACTGCTGACATCAAATTATACTTGGTAACAGAGCCACAGAGTGTTGTAGATGGGGAGATTGAATTGTGCTTTGAAATATTAAATCCAACAGTCTAAGATACTTTGTCTCACTTGGATTTTCTTTCAGGTGTAAGGTCGTGTCAGTGATTAACATCCTGCTAGCTGAAAGCACTGCAGACACAATGGTAAATCTACGGTGTGTTTTTGCATCTACAAAGTGAACGGTTTCCTTGGAAGAATTTTAACTTTATAACTCTATAGCTGAAATCAGAATAAGTTATACTTCATTTGCATATTTCTAAATTCAGGTGATTAGCAAATTTTTCAGACTCTAGAAGTATTCTATTCAAGACAGGAATAACTTAATTTGCAATGTTAATCTGTTTGGATCATTGGAGAAACTGTTGGTATAAAAATTTAAACAAATTTTCATTAGAGATGCATAATGTACTCCAGTATTATAGAGCATTTAAAGGGTAACAATTCATTGTATGAAGTGATTAGCTGTGTATTTAAAGGTGTGATAGTGTCATGTGCCTTTAACCCAACTTCAGCAATTCCTATAAAATTTCATTTTGATAATAGTTTTGTTAGGGGGAGGACCAATTGAAAGGATTTGTGTTTTCCCAACTTGGGATTTTATCATTGTGTAAATTGTTGGGTTTTTAGTGTTTGTTTAACATAGGAACTTTTAATCATTTTAAGTATCTTAATATTTAAATAAAATATTTTTATAGCTTTCTTGTGGGTTTTGTTACTATAAACTTTGGAGTAGTTTCTGTTTTCAGCTATTAGCACTTGGAGTAGACTATGGAAATAAGGCTTCTTTTCAGAGAAGGCTACTTGGCCTTTCCAAGACCAGTGGAAGATAGGATCCACACTTTCCAATGCAAGTATGTTTACATTAAACCTGAAATGTCATAAGCATTGTGACATCTTAAGTACCCTGCATTGGTTTCTGCCTCCCTGTCCCAACCCTGGGGGTTTTGAGGGATGGTGCCTTTTCTTCCATTGTCATTGGCTCTGATCACCACCCCCTCCTTCCACCTGCCTCCTTCATTCCTAAGGGCCTGTGTGGATACATTGGGCCTACCCACCTTGGTTACCCAGGATCATCTCCCTGTTTTAAAATCCTTACTTCATTTCAGTGTTCCTTTTGCCATGTAACACAACGTTTTCATAGCTTCCAGGGACGAGGGTGTGGACATCTTTGGGGCCATGACTCTGCCTATCATGGTGTTCCCAAAGACAGGAAATGGAAGCTACTGTTTAAAGCGTAGAATCAGAAGCTGAGCGTGTCACTTCCATCTGTTGCTATTGGTCAAGCTCTCACAGATCCCAGACTCAAGGGGAGGGGATGTGGCTTCCACACAGCCTAAAGGAGTGCCAAAGAATTTGAAGGTTGTGGTTTAAAATGGCCACAGTCTAGCGTACACTATGGAGAGCAGTATGGAGTTTCCTTAAAAAAACTAAAGATAGAGTTGCCGTGTGATCCAGCAATCCCACTCCTTGGCATATATCCAGAGAAAACTAAAATTCTAAAACATACATGCACTCCAGTGTTTACAGGACTATTCACAAAAGCCAGGTCATGGAAGCAACATAAATGTCCATCAACAAATGAATGGATAAAAAGGACGTGACACATATGTACAATGGAATACTACTCAGCCATAAAAAAGAATGAAGTAATGTCATTTGCCAAAACATGGATGAACCCTAGAGATTATCATACTACAGTCAGACAGAGACAAATGTATGATATCATGTGTGGAATTTAAAGTGTGATACAAATTAACTTACTTCATGATTCCTAGACATAGAAAACTTATGATGACCAAACGGGGAAAGAGGGTTGGGGAGGGATAAATGAGGATCTTGGGGTTAACAGATACTACTACATATGAAATAGATAACAAGGTCCTACCGAATATATGCATATTCTTTTTTATATATATACATATACCAGAAACTAACACAACATTGTAAATCAACTATACTTCAATTTAAAAAAGGGAAATTGCTGCAGTGTAATCTCTGTTCACAAATTATCTAGTTTCCTTCGACTTGCAAGAGTTACTTGTTTTCCTTGTTTTCCAGGGATCCCACTTACAGCATCAGGTTTAGGCTTTAGCTCCCCGATCTCATCGTCTAAATAAAAGGGTGTGTCATCAGGGTAGGGTCCTCTTGATGTGCACACCTTTAAAGGTAAAAGTTAAAATGTTAGATGCTCAGTAGTGTCTGACTGTATGTGACCCATGGACTGTAGCCTGCCAGGCTCCTCTGTCCATGGGATTCTCTAGACCAGAATACTTGAGTGGGTTGTCGTTCCCTTCTCCAGGGGATCTTCCCAACGCAGGGATCAAAGCAGTGTCTTCTGTGTCTCCTGCATTGACAGGCAGTTTCTTTACCCTTTGAGCCACCAGGGCAGCCCCTTTGAAGATAAGTTACCTGCCAATTATACACCAAACACAAAGGGATGAGGTGGCCATAGGGTCCTCACAATAACGTTCCCATTCAGAAATAGGTTAACAAGGCATATGGCCTCTGGTCCCTGAAAGTCCTGAATGCCACCTGGGCACAAGTCCCCCTCTATTGATTAGGGACCAGGGCTGCCTGTTAGGATGTGCAAAGCTTTAGGCTCTGCCATCTGGGCTGTATTCCACCCTCTGTGTCATCTTTTAGTGGAAGCCAGCAGTGCTGTCCACTAGGATAATTCTCAAAGAGTGAGAAATAGAATAGCTTCTTTGTAGCACTTAAAGAAATCTTTACTTTCTGGAGCTGAAGGATAGACACAGCTAAGGGTCAGCACAGAACTGAATTGTGAGGGGGTAGAAGGGCAGAAAAGGCTGAATTCTCAGTCTAGGAAACTGTTCCACCAGGGTCAGAGCCCTGATAGGGAAGGAGAAGGACTTTGAGAACTGAGATGGGGATCCTGGTGAAATGCACTTGAGAACCTTGCACTCCTAGATTCCTCAGAATCTTCTGGATCAACAGAAGGGCCACCTCTCCTGGGTGACACAGCTGTTCCTTGCTTGAAGACCATGTGGAGGCCCCAGAGGAGGTATGTGTATGCTTAGTCGCTTAGTCGCGCCTGACTCTTGCGACACCACAGACTGTAGCCTGCCAGGCTTCTCTGTCCATGGGATTCTCTAGGCAAGGAGACTAGTGTGGGTTGCCATTTCCTGCTCTAAGGGATCTTCCTGACCCAGGAATCGAATCTGGGTCTCCTGCATTGCAGGCAGACTCTTTACCAACTGAGCTACGAGGGAAGCCCAAGGGCCTATGAGGGTTCCAGAGGAGGTAGGAACCTCACAAAGCCATGCTTGCTCTCTTCGAGATTTGTCCCATGTCCCTCCTGGCCACTCAACCATTATCCTGGAGCAAATACTAAATTAGCCTTACTGGGGATGTGCTGGCCCACTGAGTGAGAGAGAGGG